GTATGTGTTGAAATTTGGTTTTTTGGGGTTTTTTTTCCCTATATAGTAAATGCATGTTGGTTTGTGTATGTGATATTTTATAATAGTTCTAGCAAAACAAGAAGCTAACAATACCATGTGTTGAAGGAATTATCTGGAGCCCTTGACTAAATTATTTAGGGCAAGGACTACCTCTCATTTTTGTTTAGTGCTGAAGAGTTGCTGGGAAATACTGGGAGTAAACTAAACTGGAAAAATATGGAACTTAGTGATTTGTGGTTCCCTCTAATGTTCAGCTTCAGATGCGCAGGTGTTACTTTTGTCAGATGAATGCTGCCTGGTTTCTACTGCTGTGTAATTCACCTGCATCAAGATTAAGAAACCACTTTTTATTAAATAAGCTTGGAAACAAGATAAATGTATTTTGCTTTTGTGTAGCATGTATTGGATATCTTTTTCTGATGAGTGTTTAAAATGTTTTCTAGTACAATTGGGAGGAATGCATTATCTCTCATATAAAAGCAGTACAGCGCTGAAATAGTCCTCCTTAATTTTGGTCAGAATGAACAAAAGTGTCTGTGTTTATTCCTGCCTAATGCATCACAAATCTGCTGACATGCTAACCTTGGAGTCTTGGCTGGCAGTAATCAGGCCTGTGCACCGGCAGGAAAGATGTACCTAATGCACTCCATCAGTGCAGTTTGCATATGGAAGTTCTCACAGGGGAGCTGCCCTGTGCCAGCTGAGGGTTACCTGCCCACTGCAGTTATTGTATGTAATTATCGAACCAATCTGTTCAGCCCAGCAGGGTTTAGATGGTAATCATGAAGCAACACTTTGGAAAGGAAAGATGTAATGCACTCTCCCCTTCTCTCATGAGCTATGTGAAGTTGTAGCCACTTTTAAAGCTGTATTAGTAAAGGTCTAGTCTCACACAATTAAAAATTAAAAAAGGAAAAGATAAACTCTTCCAGTGTTCATCAAAGTTATCATCTGTGTCTGATACGGATACAGGTCAACTCCTCCTTTGCAAAAATCACGTGCCTTTGAAAAAATAATCTTTCCATAACCACCTTAAGAATACTTTGCAGTAGTAAGATTAATTGTAATACACAGATAATAACAGTTCTATCCATTTAGAGGTTTTAAGATAATGTACCTTGAATAGAGTTCAGATTTCCCAAGTACCTCTCTTTGGAACAGAACCCATAGTTGCTATTAGAAAAAAATAATAATGTACTGTCAGTGGGTGTTAGCTACTTCTAAGCTGTGCAAAGAAAGCCTTAGGAAGCAAGGATCCAGATAAACTTGAATTTAATGAGGTGTAATTGCTTTTTGAAAAGCAATTAACATCAACTTTGGGTAAAATGTTTTTCTGTGTTCTTTAAGATTTTTCAGATTGTTCCTTTTGTAACAGTTATTCCATGTAAATAAAAAGAACAGGTTTTTGATCGTAAAAAAATTGTGTTTTCATACATTAAAATTTCAACTCCTAATGTGATCTGCAGATAGGGGAACTTTTAATTTGCCTGGTACTAGTGTTCTTGCGTTTATATGTGATTAAATTTTCTCTGTAACTGGAGATGTTTTATAATATATGAAGAAATAATGCTTAAAATTGGGGAATACCTTGTGAGAATAAAATGTTTTCTACTTTATATGGTTTTTTCTGCTCTTGAGTTCAGTTGTCCCCCTGCCTATTTTTTTTTTTTCCCCCAGAAAAAAAGAAAGGCAGCAGCTGCGACCAATGAGAACACTGAAGCAGAAATGGAAGATACAGGAAGTCCGGAAAAAAAGAAACCTACTTCTTCTAGTGAGTCAAAAGATCGTTCTCAGTCACACGTACTGGTGTGGTAGGTTAACCCTGCCTATGGGCCAAATTCCCACCCAGACACTTACCCCCTCCTCAGTGGGACAGAAGGAGAAAATAGGATGACAAAGCTCATGGGTCGGTACAAAGATGGGGAGATTGCTTACCACTTATTGTTGTGGGCAAAATAGACTCAACTTGGGGAAAATTAAATTAATTTGTTGCCAATTAAAATAAATTTGGATAGTGACAAAGGCAAACATTAAACCAACATCTATCTTTCCCCTTCTCCCAAGCTCAACTTAACTTTCTCACTCTAGACTCCTCTACCCGACTCCCTGAGCGGTGCAGGGGGCATGGAATGGAAGTGTGTTGTGGTCAGTACATAGCATTTTCTCTCTGCTGTTCCTTCCTCCTCACATTTTTCCTCTGCTCCAGTGTGGGCTTTCTCTCTTGGGCTGTCGTCCTTCAGGGAAAAATAATGTGCTTCAGTTCCTTCAGGAAATACCCACCTGGTCCAGTGTGGGCTCTCCCACGAGTTGTAGGGGATATCTGCTCCATCCTGGGTCCTCCATGAGCTACAGAGAATATGCGCTTCAGTGCTGTGGAGCACCACCTCCTCCTCTTGACCTTGGTGTTCCCGCCGCTGTTTTTCACTCTCCTCCTGGCACCACTACCCCTGGCCTGTCCAGTGTTTTTCACCCTCTCTTAATTGTTTTCACAGAGGTGCCACAAACAAGTTGGGCTCAACTTTGGCCTGTGGTGGGTTTGTTTTGGCAACAGCTAGAAAGGGCTCTGTCAGGCACAGGACAGCACCTGGCCTCTTCCCACAGAGGCCACCCCTGTAGCTGACCCCAGCTTACCAAAGCCATGCCACATGGCCACATATACCCAATACAGCCATTTACCTTCAGCAGTTCAAGTGCTTTTTATCTCTCATAATTTCTTTTTAGGTTAATAAAATTGAAATATTTAAACTTTCTGTGCAAGAAAGGCATACTCTCCAATTATTTGCTGACTAAAGCTGGTAGAAATGCTAGGTGATAAAAATTGGTGATTGCACCCTGTTCTTTTGCTGTCATTCATTCTCTCCTCCATTCTCATTTTTGTCCTTCCGTCTTGCCCAATTCACTGTCAGAATATGCTGACTCCTCAGGACTTCTTCATCACTGTGTGTTAAAGCCAGGAGCTAGCAGCAGCAGCTTCCAAAAGCGAGTGTATTAAAGTCGAGGAAAGGATCAGCTATAAGGATATCAAATGCTGAAGCTACGTTTCAGATAATTTGTCATAATTTCAGTGTTGTCTGGAAAAAGTCATGACAAATAAAGTAGGATTATTGTAAGTCCGAGATCAGAAATCTTCAGTAGATCTGTATAGGGTAAGCTTATGGTGAGTGTTCAGTCAAATTGTTTTCTGGATATAACCTCCTAACTCGTCATGTGGATGTGAACTGAATTCAAGTAATTACAAAGATAATTTTCCTAAAGAATTTTTGATTCAGACTTTTAAGTGAGAGACCAGACGTTGTCCATAGTCAAGTAGTCTAAAAATAATAAAGCAGTAGCACTGGACTCTACCCCAAAACAAATTCTCTTGTTTAAAAAAGGTTTGATGAAGGCGTATGGCAGGGTGGGAAAATGTAACATTTCAAAGACAGTATTATTATTGGTAAGTTATGGATTTACCCTAGTGTATTTACTCAAACAGTAAGGTACAAAGTACAAGTAATTAAGCTAATGTTGTTCCATAAAATGACACTCTTTTGTTCATTTTCAGCTGTTCACATTGTAGAATTCTGATCATTAGAATCAGTGATTATTTCTCTTACTTGAATGCCTTTTGAATTGTTGACTTCAATTTACTATGAATTTTCTAGTCTGTCAGTGGCTGAAAAAGCGTTAACTTTATTATACTTTCTTTCAAGGAAATACAATTATTTTATATGATGCTGACATTTATTCATAGTTTAATCATTTTAGATTTAGACTAAGTAAAGGTATTTGGGAGGCTATGTATATTTTCAGCATCCAGTGGTTAAAATGAGTGATGAACATCAGCTTAAATTTAAACCTCCTCTTGCCAACTTCATAGTTACAGGTGAAATGGTTCTAATTCCACCTTTTTATACTACTCAATTTAATGAATACCAAGTGGGGGGAGTATATCAAATGATTTCAGGTGAAAAGTGATACATGTACTTACTCATTTTGTTCTCTCCAAATTTGGAATTAAAAACTTTACCACTTATTACATGATTCATATATCTGTGTTGAAGGAAAGGGCAGCGTTTCATAATCTTATGATTTTGATGCTTTTGATAAATTGAAAACAGCTGATTATTATAGGAATACTTAAAACTGTGTTTCCAAATCTGACTAGTTTTATGTTACCATGGACTTGTTTCCCTGTTATGTGATTAGTCCTGTGACTAAAAAAATATCCAACAGTTTACTGTCCAGTAAAGTGGATAATTTCTTGTTACCTCTTAGTTGTAGAAATTGAAGTTTAATCATACAGGAGCATTTTAAAAGTTCTTGAAATGCTATTTTATTGGTTTCTAGAAGGCAATAAATATGGCTGGACAGGGGTTACTCTTCAGGTGTTCAAACAACATCTCATGAGTATTTGGACTTAAAACAGTGGCAAGAAGAGCCATGGAAACAGTGGCAAGAAGAGCCATGCAGCCTCTTGCTGTTCAGCTAATCAGCATTAACTGCATCTGACTATGCAGTTTGTCTAATCCAGTCCAAAAGATTAGTCGGCCCAAAAAGATCCTGATCAGCTGCGCAGCAGTTTGAGTACAGCAGGGTGCTCGGTGGCTACAGGGACTCTGCCAGTAATGAAATCTGCTGCTGCTGAGTTTGGGGAGCCCCCAGGCTTGGCGGAGGAGGAAGAAAGAATGGGACAGAGAAAGGATGGGCATCTTGAAATTCTTGCTTTTTCTGTCTGCTCCCCCTGGTTGTTCTCAGCGTAAGATGTGGCCATTTCAGATGAGTTCAGTAAAGGCCATCTCTTTCAATCATGTCAGCCATTGGTGTTTCTGGAGCTGTCAAGCAAGGGTGTTAGACTCTTCTTTTTAGAAACAGAATATCAGAAAGCCCTCAAGAAGCAAGCTGTGTTGTACTTCCAAAATAAGATGCACAAAATTTTGTGGAATTCTTAAACTGTTTTTTATTTAAATTAGCATGTTATCAGTCCCCTCTTTTTTCCCCTGTGATAACTGGAACCCATATGCTTTCCTGAAAGCTGGAATTTTAAGAGACATCCTTTTCAGGGTAATGTGGATGATGTTGACGTATTCTGTTAGTCAATGGCTCTCCACCCGAAAAAAATGCTATCAGAAGAGATGATTTCTATTTAAACAAAAAGTTTTTTCATGCTCTGTTACAACTTCATTTTCATTATTAGCTGCCTTCATGTATGATAGTAAAATATACAGGCTTATGAGTGATGATACTGTTAAAGCAGAATACCAAATTTTGGCATACACTGCACATATCCACCAACATTTGTTCAGGGGTGTACTGCGTAATATTAATAGGACTAATATGCTTATTTTTAATCCGTTTGTATGGAATGGGCAACTATGGTGAAAATGGCATAAATGCTGGAAAAATAAGAGTTTCATGAGAATTTGTAAATAATCCTAGGTTCAAAGCTAGCAATAGAGATAAAACCTTTACCACTGGCAGGCCACTGGCAGTTTTCTTTAATCTTGGTGTTGATGAAGAAATACAGAAATAGAATCTTATAGAAATAACAGAGATTTTTTTTTTATTTTTTTTTTTTTTTAGAATAGAGGGTTTTTTTATACCAGCCTTTTTAATTTTCTGTTGTAATTTTTTTAAAACAATTTGGGGGTTTATTAATAGGGACAGTATGGAGAAAAATACTAAAGTAGACATGACAATGAAAGTACGGTATTTTTTTAATAGTACTGCTAGGGGTAGGAATTGTGTATGTCTGTATTGCTGGATAGCATCTAGCATGGTAAGACTGTAACTGGGATCTTTGGTTACTCTTGCAGTATAAATAAAGAACTATGTGAACAGCTCTGATTTGAAAACAGTCATACTGATGGATTGGTTAGAAGGCATTCCAAAATGGAGGTTTAATAGTATTTCTCAATTAATTTGGTACTTAGCTTTATGTTTATTTACATTGCATGGCTTTGCATAAATCAGTATCTCGGTTATTGTCTTAGAAATCTTTTTTTTCTTTATTCAGGCAAGACTTATTACTCAATGTTGTATTAAATCTACACTTATGCTCACTTTTATATTTAGAGAATTATTGGCCTTGTCATCAAGCTTTAGTAGAAAGCAAATAATAATGTTTTTTTGAGCTTGTTTATGGCACCACTTGTTACATGTCTTTCTACTCCACACCAATGCCCACATTATAGGTAGATTTTTACCTCTTAATTTTATATCCTAATACAAACATGTACAGTACAGGTTTTGCTGAAAAATAGTTCTAATTACCTGTTATTCATCTGTTCCTCCTCATGAAGGATTTGGTATTGACTAGTATCTGTAACAGACTCCAGAAGTAAGTGGGTATTAGTTTTAAAACAGTGTATCCATCTCTGACTAGTCACCAAAAGATCTGTCCTTTTCTGCACCATTCTTAGCCTTCCCTTACCTGTCTCAGGAGTTTTGCAAGTTAAATGTTCTGGTATGAGAGTTACGTGATCTGGTTTTAGAAGTTAAAAGTACGTGCTGCTATGTTGTATCTAGAAATTAACAGGAAGAATCAGGTTTTAGAGCAGAGAAATACTTCTCTGAGTTGTCAGAAATATTGACAAACTTGCTTTTGTATTTTGCATTAAATATACTCAAACACAATATGAAGTGATCTGTCTTTTTATGGCCTGCACCAAAATTGTTTGAGGATCCTCAAAAGCTATTTAAATTCGGAGAGGTGTGGTAGGAGGTGGTCTTTAAGTATAAAGATCCTTAAATATTGTGAGTAGGAAGGCTAAATAAATTAGATATAAACCA